GTAGAGAGACAAAGGATGCATGTTTTCTCTCATATGTGAAATCAGATCTAAATTATAAATATATATGTAAATGTATACTGCTTCATATGCATAGACACAGAAACATATTGGCTGAAGTAAGGTCTATGCAGGGAAGGACTCCAATGGTGTAACTCCTTTGAACAAACTAACTTACAGGTTAACAACATGAGTATCAGGAAGTTGGAATATGCATTGTCAGGGAGGGTGAGGTCCAGGGGAAGGAGGGCAGATGAATGGAGAGAGGAAGATGGATGAATGCAGTCATCATACTCAATGTACATCTGTGAAAATGCAAACTAGGTGCCTTGAGGGGACACATGGAATTGGGAGAGACAAAAGGGTGACATTGATTAAGATTCATTGTACTCACAAACATGTTAAATTGAAACTTCTCTGTACAACTAGTTAAGGATAATAATAATAATAATAATAAAAGACTGAGTGACAATCTTAGATTTGTTTCTACCACAGGAGGGAATGGGGCTATTTAACTGAGATGACTTCAGAATTGATTTTAAAAGTATAGTTCCTTTAAAAAATTCACATATATATATATATATATATATGTAGACACACATATACATATATATGCATATTTATGATCTTTAAGTAGTTATACAGTGGAGTTACCATTCAACAAAGCAGTTTATGAATACAATACATCTTGATCAACATCACCCCTTTCAACATTCTCTCCATCTCCTCCAATCCACCCCTTCCCTCACTTTTCTTAATTTTGTAGGATATTCACTGAATTTTTTACTGCATTCTGCCCACTACTCTTAACCCCCTCTACCCTCGACCTCACCCACCTCTTTCAAATACCTATCTCCTGATATTTATTTTGATGAACTATTATTTTACTTTTCTAAAGAATTATACTGTTTGAGGGGCTGGGAAGGTGGCTCAGTGGTAGAGCGCTTGCCTTGCATGCCAGAGGCCCTGGGTTTGATTCCTCAGCACCACATAAGCAAAAAGAAAAAAGCCAGAAGTGGAGCTGTGGCTCAAGTGGTAGAGCTCTAGCCTTGAGCTGAAGAGTTGAGGGACAGCGCCCAGGCCCAGAGTTCAGGCCCCACGACCGGACCCCCCCACCCTACAAAAAAAAGAATTACACTGCTTGAGTTATCCTCTGAAACTACCATATTTCAGTTTATAATTTGTATATACTTGGATAGCACCTGAAGTTAAAATATGGTTTCTTATTCTCCAATCTCCCTTTATCTAGTTGCTAACAACTAAATATGCTAACATCTTAAGGGATTTTTTGGGGGGCCTTTTACTCTTTAGCTACAAAAGAACTAATATTCAAATATTCCAGTATTCCCAACAGCAGGAAACAGATGTCCTTTAATAATTCCTGGTTACATGTTACTCTGGTTATTCATGTGTTTGTTTGAGATCCATGTTTTCTGAACTACATCAGTGTTTCAACATATCCACATTCCTTGTTCTTTTTTTGGGGGGGGGTTGGGTCCGGTCGTGGGGCCTAAACTCTGGGCCTGGGCGCTGTCCCTCAGCTCTTCTGCTCAAGGCTAGTGCTCTACCACTTGAGCCACAGCGCCACTTCCGGCTTTTTTCTTTTTGCTTATGTGGTACTGAGGAATTGAACCCAGGCCTCTTGCATTCAAGGCAAGTGCTCTACCACTGAGCCACCTTCCCAGCCCTCCTTGTTCTTTAAATGTGAGAAAAAGTTTTTTTTTTTTTTTTTCATCAGTCATGGGGCTTGAAGTCTGAGCCTGGGTGCTGACCCTCAGCTCTCAGCTCAAGGCGAGGGCCCTACCACTTGAGCCACAGCACCACTTCCAGTTTCCTGGTGGTTTATTGGAGATAAGAGTCGCATGGACTTTCCTGCTTTGAACATGATCCTCAGATCTCAGCCTTCTGAGTAGCTAGGATGTCAGGTGTGTGCCACCGATGCCCAGCAAAGGTGAGAAACACTTTAAACAAAGTAATTTTTTTAATATATATCTCTGTAATATCACTTGTAATATCTGGAAAGCTGTCACCTATTAACACAATAAAAACATTCTTCCATTTAGAAATGGGGCTATAGGCTGCTCTGGGTCAGCTGCTTTTCTCTTTTCCTCACAGCAGGTAATTAGTTTGACTAGCACCAATCTAAGACCTCCTTGAAGGACTGTGGGACATTAAAAGGGAGATCCCTTTCCAACATTTTGTCAGTCTATCATTTTGTCTTATTAATTTTAGAGTCTCTGTATCACCTAAGTCAGAGTGTGGGGTCTCAACTCCATGATAGTTCTTTAAAATTTTTATTGTTAAATATTTTATTTATTTTTTAATATCTCAGACTGTGAGCGTCTTGATAACAGCAACTTAATCTTGGTGTCTGCAGCACCATGTATTAGGAGCATTTATTCTCGGTTGGTAGTTCTTAAAGTAGTGAGGGAAAGCCTTCTTCAGGTGCCAAAGACATACGATACCTTTCTTTACCGAGAGGCATAACAGGAGAGATGCTAGAAAGCCTTAAAGTAACAAAAGAGTGAGAAACAAGACAACCAGGATGAGACAAAGTCTGGAGACTTCTAGTATAAGTCACATTTGTATAAGGTGTTGCTCAGTGTAGTGTAGTACCAAGAGCTTATGTTTAAGAATTAAGAATTAGACAGTTAATAACATCAATCCAGACTCTTTACTGACTACATGAATTTTACCAAATCATTTTTCTTTTGGGGCTTTCCAGAAGGCAAATGTAACTGTTTACCTTGTGGTAAGGTGCCTTTCCTATAGAGCTCCTACCACATATTGGGAATGAAGTCAGAACATAGGAGACTGGAGCTCTATCTATCTATCTATCTATCTATCTATCTATCTATCTATCTATCTATCTCTAACGTTATTATTATTGTTTCTGCCTTAATTTGGTAGCTGAACACCTGACACTCACTATGGTTATTAGCATGTTGTACATTCAATGAAATTTACTAGTTGAAAGAATTATTCTGATCTGGATGTTTCTATAAGAACTTAATTCTTTCCTAAGTGCATGTCTCCACCTGCCCAGATATTTGAGTCAAATGTCTTGATTCCTTGACCTATTGAGCACCTCCTGGGGTTTAGGCACCATGTGGGGGTGTCAGCTGTTCCCACTGTGTGGAGCTAGACCAAACCACAGCTCCCAAGAGTATTAGAGGGGAAAAAAAAGAAGCAGGAGGACTTGTCATTTGCTCAACTTTCTGTTCCTTTTGTTAGCTTCTCCGTGTGGTATGTGAGTCTGTTCTGACAACAGTAGACAAACATAGAGATATTCTCAACCATCTAGAACCTGCCAGTGCTTCCCAGAGGTACTGAGAACAGGCCATGTGGATGCCTCCTTCAGCATTCTCACTCTGTGCAAACTCAGAAAGGTTAAGATGGTGTTACATTGCTTTAAATCCTTCTAAGGTTCTTCCCTCTGATCTGTCCTCTCTGTAGGTGTGGTAAATGAACAGGAATACAAATGAAAAGGCCTTTGTGGGAAGCCCACTCATAGCTGAGTGAGCTAGCTTATTACAGAGTGTGGGTTGTACTTTTATATATCTAAGTATCTAAATCCAGAATGCCTTTGAAAACTTAAGTGATTCTTTGGCTTTACATCGAAGCCCTATTTTTAAAGTGTGTGTGTGTGTGTGTGTGTGTGTGTGTGTGTGTTACAGGAACAACTTTGGGCACAATGCATGTATGTATTTGTAAAAAATATTTGGAAAGTGTGAGTAGGAAGTTATTATTGCTAGAATAGTGTAATGGGCAACATGGGTGTGTATGTGTGCATGTGTATGTATGTGTATGTATATATGTGTGTATGTATGTGTACGTGTGTATGTGATTGTGTGTAATGGTATTCAGGTGGGCAGGATTATAGGAGCAGCCAACCTCTTAGGCAGCTGGACAGTACAATAAAACATCAAGTGTTGTAGTGGGAGATTGTTTTCCTTTCAGACCAGCACACAGGTCTTTGAAGAGCCCTTGACTCTATCCTTCTTCCTTGTCTTGTTAAAAAGGGATTAGAGTTCAATTAAGCCATTTAAACCCAAGGTAGAAATTCATGTTTAAAAACAAGATTTACAGCTTCGTTAAAAAAATACATGAGAGCAAGTTGAAGTTTGTCCTTTCAAGTTGCCACCTGCATAGTTACAAAGAGTATTTTCAGCTAAACACTCAACACATAGTCCTTCTTAATTACTTTACCTCATACCTCCACTCCTTCTTTTAAAGTGCCCTTCAGCCTGAATAGCCACATGCTGGTAGAAGGACTTCAGATTCTAGATGGCCGTAACACACTTTAGCTCATCTCTCTTCAGATAGCAACTCAGTGACCAGGGTTAATCATAAAAGTAGCATTAAGAGCTGATGCTTCCTGAGAACTACGCTTTGCTATGCATCAGTGTGCTAAGCACTTAGGTACATTAGCTCATTAGGTTCTCCATAGGAGGATACCTGGACTGGCTTCATAGGTGTGGGAATTGTCACTCAGGGCCATCGCTTGCTTTCTTGCTTTGCCAGGTGGCTTTTTACTGTTGCCTTCTTGAAATGTTAATCATTTTTGAGCAAGGGGTTTGCATTTTCATTTGGAATTGGGCCTCCCAACTTATGCAGTCAGTTCTGAGAATAGCCTGATTCCACTTGCTTTCCTTCAGTGTGATAACTCAGACAGACATTGCTCAAGTATGGGTAAGTGAGCCTTGAATGGTGATGAAAAAACCCACTCTGGAAAATGGATGTCATGGTCTTCAGGAAGAGAAGCTGTCTAAATGACAGGAATTATGTCATGACACAGTACAGGACAAGAAAACCAATGAAATGAAATGACATATCCAGTTCCCATAGGCAATACATGTGACATTAGTTCATATGTTTGCAGAGCAAGAATATGCTATGGGTACTGTATACTTCATAGCAAGGATGAAAATACCAACATTGAAATATTTGGGGGGCTGTGGGGCAGGTTTCTCGCCTCCTGTAACCCAGGGATCTAGCCTTACCTGCCCAGTAGAGCTGGCTGGGAGGTTTGCCTTCTCCGTATGCTGTGTGGTCACAGAGGGGTTGCTGGAGCTGATGAGCACTGGAGTGCTGATCTCTGCCACGTGGTGCCCCGAAGGAGAATGGACCATCCGGTTGAGCGTGTTCAAAGCAGTAGTGATAGAGAACTGGCCGGCCCCCTTCCTTCTGGAGCCTGGGCCTCTACGGAGGCTGGCTGTAGCGGTGGTTTTATCTCTGGGAGATGAAGATACCAGAGAGAGGTTTTTCATGCGGGATGATGGATGCCCTTTGTTCTTCTCTAATAGGTGTCTTGCAGTAAGGTTGGGCTGAAAAGATAGAAATTCCCATGAGAAGTTACACTGGCTGGTATCAAGCCAGCAGCTAAGTTCTTGTCCAGGCCAGCCAGAAGCCAGATCACATGCCACTTTCTTTAGTCACTGCTGCAGATGGCCACTCCCTGGTGGGCATAAAAAAACTTCCTTTTGGGGCTGGGAAGGTGGCTCAGTGGTAGAGCACTTGCCTTGCATGCCTGAGGCCCTGGGTTCGATTCCTCAGCACCACATAAGCAAAAAGAAAAAAGTCGGAAGTGGCGCTGTGGCTCAAGTGGTAGAGCGCTAGCCTTCAACTGAAGAGCTGAGGGACAGCGCCCAGGCCCAGAGTTCAGGCCCTCGACCGGACCCAAAACAAACAAAAACCAAAAAAACCTTTTTATCAACTTCAAGTTATACATTAGGTATGAGACATAAATACATACTTTAGGCTTGAGATAGAATGCCAATACACTCAGGAGGCTGAATCTTTTTGCTACAGTGTCTTTCCTTTTATCTTTTAAATACTTTCTTCTTTTATTTCTCCCTTGTTTATGCCTTTTAGTTAGTAGTATGCTAGTAATAAAAGGGAGATAAAGGGTAGCCCTGTTTGTAGAGTTACCAGTATACCAAAATTCCTAACACTTTTAGTGTAGAACTAGCCGGCTCCACGCCAGTGCCATATTATGGTCTGTTTTATTTATTTATTTATTTAATTTTTACTAGCTTGGCCCAATAATGGCCCCTGTGGTTCTTTTTCTAAAATCTAAAGTACACTGGCAAAACAAAAGCTCATACAAACCAAGTCTTAGATTTCAGGATGATTACTTACATTTCCACTATTATAATTGTCATCAATTGTTCTCCCAAAACCCCATCTTCCTCTCAAAATTCAACTACTGTGGTTAGGAAGAAATATTCCCACTTAAAAACATTTTAAATGCCGATGTGCAAAGGATTAAAATAGGTGAGATAAAAATATTTTAAAGAAGATCTAGTCTTTCTTCCTACTTCTGGTTTGTCTTGTTGGGAAAAACTCATCAAGCAGGAAATGGGTGTCATTAAGTTCTACTTTAGAGACAAGAAAGTTGAGGCCCCGAAGGAGTGATATAAATAACAGAGCTAGCAGGCAAACTAAACAAGAAAGTATCAGATAGTGATCGGGGCTCTAACATGATAGATGGGAGGAAGTGGCTATTTTAGGTTGGAAGGTCCAGGAAGACCCTCCGAGAAAGTGACATTTAAATAGAGATAACAGATAATAAGGAGCTGGCCATGTGAAAATGGCAAGCAGGACAACTATAAACTACAGGAAAAGTCTTAGGGAATGAGTTATTCTGTTTGAGAAAAAGAGGGAAGAAAGAAATAGAGAAGGATGTGTCAGAACAGATTAGCAAAAGGTAGTAAGAGAGGAGGCATCAGAGAGAGAGAAATAAAAAGAGAGGGAGGGAGGGAAGGAGAGAGAGAGAGCGAGCGAGAGAGAGAGAGAGAGAGCGAGCTAGAGAGAGAGACAATGTGCCAAGGACCAGATCATACAGGGCCTAGGAGGTTTTATTTTTATTTTCAGTGTAATAGGAAGCCTCTGGCCAGATTTATGTGGAGGAGTGACAGGATCTGATTTACGCTTTGAAAAGCTCATGTTACAATTTGGCGGTTTCTTAGAGTTAAACACATACTTAGCATCTGACCCAGCAATCCCACTCTTAGGTAATTACTCAAGAGAAATAAAAACTTAGGGTCACTCACTGCTATGCAAATGCTTTCCTTTTTCTTTCTCTTTGAGACTCTCATTAATTGCCCAGGCTGGCCCTAAGTTCACGATCCTTCTGCCTCAGTTTCCCAAGTAAATCTCAGGGTTCTATGTAGTTGTCAACAATAGAAAATAACCCCGAATGTCTTTCTACTATTAAAAAGGTACAATATCTGTGGTCCATCCATGCTGCTCAGCAATGCAATTACTGATACACAAAACCATCTGGATTCATTGCTGTTTAACTATGAACGTTAAAGAAGTTCCATCAGGTATGATCCCATTTTAGGATATTCTAGGAAAAGGAAAGCCATAGGGACAGGGAATAGATTAGTTGTTGTCAGGTACTGAGGGCCAGGGAAGAACTAGCAACAGAGGTGAATCATGGGGGATTTGGGATGCTGGGGTTGGAACTAGTCTGTATCTTAATGGAGTGTGCTTATACAACTGGACACACTTATCAAAACTTAGAGAACTGAATTATTACCCCCATCCCCCACCTATACACATACACATCATGTACACACACACACACACACACACACATATACATTTTCTTCTTTGTATATAAATTAAGCTCATTGTGAAATGAAGGAATGGGCAACAATATTTGACAAGAAATGCACCTTACTGATGTAACTGTAACTCCTCTGTACAACACCTTTACAACAAAATAAAATAATTTTAAAAATGAACTATTTTTTTAAAAGAGTTCATTGTGGTCATTAATCAGAAGTGCCAGGAGAAGTAGGGAGACCAATGAGGAAGATATTGGAAATTTTCAGGCGGGTTCTGATTTCTACCTGGACTGGCAACAGTGTCCTATGTTCCTCTAGAACACTTGTCTCTTTAAGAGAGCAACGCATGCTTTTCTGTTTCTTTATGTGTGCCAGGGGCTTGAACTCAAAGCCTAGGGGCTAGCTTTTTATCCCACGGCTGGTGCTCTACCACTTGAGCCACAGCTCCATTTCTGGCTTTTTGTGGTTAACTGCAAATATGCATTTCACAGACTTTCCTGTCTGGACTGACTTCGAACCATGATCCTCAGACCTCAGTTTCCTGAGTAGCTAGGATCACAGGCATGAGTCACGGGCTCTCAGCATGATACACTCTGAATTTAACGCATAATGTGTTTCATAGACGTTCACAGCTATAATGAAATAAGGTCATTTTTTTCTGCTTTGGCCTAATTGGTCTGAGTCCCACTATCAGGGCCTTTCCGGCAAGGACACTAACAGAGGGCCCCTGGGCCCGTCTGCCTGTCCTTCCAGTGTAAATATCACTCAGCGGGGAAGAGGCCTGCAGGTCTCTTGAAGCAAAATCCTTGAGCTTCATGGATCTCAAGCAGCCCCGAGGGAACAATCTTGACCAGAACAGTCAGAAACTTGATGTTTGTTTTGCTACCTCTTACGCAGGTGCAATTTAAGAAATCAAATGATACATTAACAGGACAAATTCTGTTTATGAAAAAAGACCCTATCTCCTTTATAAGAAAGCCATTCTTGGGTGACATTCATCAGGATGCATTGTTCACATAAATGGATATGTTGGATTGAAACCCCTTTGTACAACTACTTAAAGATAATAAAAAATGAATAAATAAGAGAATGAATATAGAATAAAAAGAAAGAAAGCCTTTCTTCTTGGTGCTTCGCATGGCTCTGGCAATTCAAGGCTTAATGAGTTTTCAGCAAGTCCTAGTCTTAATAGAATTACTGGAGTCAAAATTTAAGTACTGGTTGAAAAAGCTCAATTTAGATATCAAGTAATTTTTGAAAAGCAGGCTCCCAGATTAGAGCAAGCACTTGATTATCTTTTCCCACTCCTAGCAATTAGGAGAACAAATGAAGCAATGGCTAGTTGGATGATAATTTGGAGGGTGCTTTAATCACTAATTTTGAAGGTAAAGTGGTAGAAAGAGTATCCGAATGAATAATCATTAAATTAGAAGTTTTGGTTAAAAAGAGTTTCAGAAATGGGTAATAAAATCAGTGGTGTTGTTTCCCCAGAGCTGTGAGAAGGACTTCCAAATAAAGTAGGAGGCCAGGCAAAAATTCTCACTTTTCCTAGGCATCCAGTGAGGTGTTAATTGCATCTGATTTCTGTCAGAGGAGTTGAGCACCTTTCTGCGTCATTCTGACCCAGAAAATTGCCACACTACCGATCTCGGCATGTGTACCAGAACGGGGGAGGGGGGTGTCCTTCTTGTCTCCTGTCCTCCACTCTTTCAATGTCCTATGGAAGTTTTGGAAATGTTCTTTGTTTTCTGTCTCTTACTCTTAGCCACTAATGTCTAATTGAGCCATGCATCAAGTGACGACTCTTGTTTTTCTTTTCCTTTTTCAGAGTATTTTTTTTCCCATCTGAGCCAGATGTGGTGATGCACACCTGTAATTCCAGAACCAAGGAGATCCAAGCAGCAGGAACAAAACAATTGAGGCCAGCATGGGTCACATAGTGAGTTCAAAGCTAGCCTGGGTTACATGAAACAGAGAAGAGAGAGGGTTGATAGCTGAAGCCTTGTAATCAAAATGAATTGAGAAGTGGAAATCAGAGGTTGAGATTTGAGGCCAGCCTGGGCTTAAAAGCTTGGGAGGCCCTATCTGAACCAACGGCTTGGGGCAGTGGGTTGTGCCTTTAATCCCATTTATAGAAGCTCAAACCCAGTGGCTTGTGCCTATCATGCCCGAGCAAAAGGATCACAGTCCAGGCTAACCCTGGATTGGTCTCCAACATAAAGTGAGATCCTGCTCTGAAATGCAGGGCCTTCTGGGTGTTCGGCAGCTGCATTCCCCTCAAGCTATTTCTAGCCCTTTTGTGGGGAGTTCTTTTGGCTCTTGCACACTGCATCTGCTCCTCCTGCAAAGTTCCTAAACATGCTGCCTCTGCCCTGAAATGCAACTTCCTCCTCTCACCTGTTTAACTCTAGTCATGTCTGACCTTGGCTCAAGTGTCATCTGCTGAGCCCCATTAAGGTAAGCCGCATACCATCACCCTCTAATGATTCTCTGTACTTAACTCTGCGTCATTCGCCACATTAGTAATTACTTAAATATCTGAATCCATGGTCTCAGAGAGCCCAAAGCATCACCATCTTGTATCTTTAGTTACTGCATGGCTCAATTAGATGTGAATGGCTTAGATTAAGAGATAGAAAACAAAGGACATTTCCAAAGAAACTATAGGAAATCACAGAAATGTAGGACAGGGGACAAGAAGTACTCAAGAAGGACTCAGTTCTGATACACATGCCTTGATCCGTGGTGTGGAAATTTTCAGTCACGATCTATCTCTAGAACTCAGCACAGGACCTAATGTAGGAGGCACTCAATGAAAAATTACGTGAGTGACTGACTATATATTTAGAACAGATCATATTGAATGCTGTCCTTCTCCTCCTCCATCTTCCTCCCTGCAGCCTCCTCCTCCTCTTTTCCTCCTCCTCCTCCACATCATCATCATCTAAAGTACTGGTGATTGAAACCAAGGCCTGATGCATGCTAAGCAAGCACTCTACAACTGGAGTCATGTGCCCAAATATTTTATTTGAGTTTTGTTATTGAGATAGACCCTGATTGGCCTGAAATTCATGAGCAGCTGTAATGCTAGGTCTGAATCACCTTGCCTACTTTGATAATTGAGAGGGGTCTTGATAACATTTTTCCCAGGCTATCCTTGAACAATGATTATCCTAATGAAGTAAATGAGACTATAGGCATGTATGACTATATCCAGTTGGGTGCTAAAGTTTCTCTGACAACTTTCAAGGTTGTTTTTTTTTAAATTTAGTTGTTAAACCCAGATTGATTGATTTTTATTTATTTTATTTATTTAGAACTCTGGGCCTGGGCGCTGTCCCTCAGCTCTTCAGCTCAAGGCAGGCACTCTACCACTTGAGCTACCGCACCATTTCTGGTTTTCTGGTGGTTAATTGTACATAAGAGTTTCACAGACTTTTCTGCCTGGGCTGGCTTTGAACCAAAGATCCTCAGATCTCAGCCTCCTGAGTAGCTAGGATTATGAGCCATTGGCACCTGGCTCCACCCAGATTTATATACATGCTAGGTAAATTTTTATTTAGTTTTAAATAAAGTTCTTATTTGTTAGCTAGCTTATGAAGAAAAATAAACATGATAAAATGTTCAGAGAGGAAATAAAAAAGTGTTCTGCTAGGTGTTGGATATTTTGTTTGGTTTGGGCCATACTTTTGAGTTCAGGGCCTTGAACTTGTTAGGCAGGTGCTCTGCCACTTGAGCCACACCTCCATCCTTTGGTTGCTGAAACCTTATGGATCAGTGTAGGTTATAAAGCTGAGCTTTATAAAATTAGTAGAATGTGAACAGGTAGGAAGCACTGACTAGGTGTATCGGGATTACAAATGTATGGTGTCTTTTCTTAAGTCTTGGGTTAGATCTGAAACAAGCCTCTGTCAAACAGGAATTTCTGTCAGGTATTTCTGGGTAAAGAAAGGGACTCACATACCTCCACAAACAAGATAGGGAAAATGCCCACTTTGTCTCCTAACTTTCCTTCTGCCCAGTTCTCGTCCACTCTGCTGATCACAGTGATGATGTCATCCTGAAAGAGAAAGTCATGTGATCAGCCTTTCTCCTCAGCTTCCAAATGGTGAAAACATCCAGTAGCAATCAGTCCAGATACAAGGAATGTAGCTCTTGAATGAATTGCCTAGGAGATCTTCCTACTAAAATGGACTTTCTCCATAACCAGAAATATTTAGGTAATTAGGACAAGAAGAGGAGTAGAATTACTTTGGAGGCTCAGTGGACTCCAGTAGGAAAACTTGGAAATGTTCATAATTTCAATAACCAGCAGAATCCCAGATTCTCCTTTAAATTCATCTGGAGGAGAAGTTAAAAATGAAGCCATCAAGGAGACATATTTGAGCTTGACAAAGAGAATAATGAACTTCATTCTCATTCTGATGACTTTCAGAACCTATTCAGTTTCAATATATCAAACATACAGCATATTTTATTCAAATTTTTTAAATTATGAAAAGATCATATGTAAATTTCTAGAAACACTTGGAACTATGGATAAGCAAAAAGTTCATCTACCACCATAAAGAGAACCACTGTTAACAGCTTGGTTAACATATTTTCCTCTATGTTTTTAAAATATCAATATAAAAGATAACATATATATTGATTTTTATTTTTTTCAAAAATATGCATGCATGCATTAAAGTGCATAGATTTTAGGTGCAAAGCTGAAGGAATTTTGATTATAGCCATAAAACCTCCATCTCCTAACTCAGGATACTAAATCCAGTGTCCATGAGTCAGCTTTGTGTCTTTCCTGTCCCTAAAGTACTTTGACTTCTAGTACTGTACATTCACTTACCTGTTTTTGTACTTCCTACAAAGGAAGTCACCATATAAGACGTAATGTCTTCCTACTTAATATTTTTTGATGTTACAGACACCTTCCCATGTAATACATATTCATTAAATCTTATCTGTATCTTTGTCCATAAAGACTTTCTGGGGATATAAAACCTTTTATCTCATACCCTAATCCTAAAATCCTAAATCCTAAAATCACTACTATACTATACATTTTAAGCTTCTTTTGTCTTAGTATAATTTGCAAATTTATATTTGTAGTTTGTCATCTCTTTCCATTATAAGACCATAAACTCCATGGGTGCAAGGCCATTGTCTGTTTAGTTCACCTAACATTGTGGTCTCCTTCAGTAGGTATGCAATAAATATTTCTGGAAAATACCCATGCATGAAGGAGTAAAGACACACATAAATAAATGTCTGAGTAATGGAAATAGAAAGCCCTAGGAAAAGAGCCACTTTGGCAGGGGGATCTTGAGTGTCCTTTTGATATGCTTGCTGAGTTTAAGATGACCACAGATTGCCTAGGGAAGCCTCAGCATTCCACAGCCCTCAAAATCAGCCAAATTTTCTCTTCTGGTCTTTTGTCATAATTTTCCATTGATGTGTCTGTTTCTCCCATCAGACTGACAGTTCCATGAAGGTAGGGAGATTGGCTCATCACTTTGTTCCCAGTGGCCAACTTGACACCTGACTGGGCTCAAGGAATAGATGTGTGGAGTGTTTCTATTTGCAAATTGCTGGCAAAGGCCAAGGAAGCAGATAGTGTTTCTTGCCTATGTCTCCAAAGTGCAGTGTCTAATGTCTGGCACAGAGTAAGTATTATCTCTCTCTCTCTCTCTCTCTCTATTTAGTTGAATCATCCCTCTAACTGTAGTCTAAGTATAAACTTTATAGTTTGGGCTGTAGAAAGATTTTCCTTAGGAGTCTTATTCTGAATTATTATCTTTATTATTTTTCAATATGAAGAACAATAAACTTATCAAATCTGGGTACTCAAGAAGGATAAGGAGTACTCAAGACAACCAACCCACTTTCTGATACATGTGTCTTGATCAGTGTTGTGGCAAATTTTAATCACAATCTTGTATCTCTAGAACTCAGCACAGAACCTGATCTAGGAGGCACTCAATAAACAATTACTTAAATATCATTTTGAAATTAAATCTCATTTATGAATTAAATCTCATTTCTGGTAGCGACAGAATACAAATATTTTATGAAACAAAAGGCATTTCTTGGGCCATTGTAACAGCTCTTGCACTCGATTAGCCTTCTTATCCTAGGTAGCAAAGAATGAAAATAAAGGGGGTGGAGGGAGGATGGGATGGGAAGGGGAAACAAAGGAGGAGGCTACAATGCTTGATAAGAAATGTACTCATTATCTTGCCCATGTAATTGTAACCCCTCTGTACAGTATTTTCACAATAAAAAAGAAAGAAAGAAAGAAAGAAAATAACTCCAACTTTACTTTCTATGGCAGAATTTGAATGTATAGAATAACTAATTCTGAATGCCAAGACAAAGTAGTCTAGATTTGTAGGACTATTTTGCAAACAGTGAAGAGTTGTGCAATAAAACAGGAGGTCAAAAAATCTTAGCACAAATAATGTGCTTGTAGACTATTATCTTGTAAGTGGTTATGTGTAAAGTTATGATTATGTTATTGCATGTTTGAATACTATGTTTACAGCAAAATAGAATGTCATAGATGAGTGGAATTAGGTGACCATGTGAATCAGCAAGGTTACCCTTATTAAGAAAAGTGAGGGAAGGGGTGGTTTGGGAAGGATGAGGGAGGATGATGAAAAGGTTGACATTGATCAAGATGAGTTGTGTTCATAAACTGCTTTGTTGAAGAGCAGTGCCTCTGTATAACTACTTAAAGACAATAGAAAAAGAATACCCTTATACGTCAAAGAGATAAGATTAGAGTTTCACATAGTACATTATTAGACCATGTTTTAGTTTCTGTCTACATATTTGTTTCTGCCGTAGAGCAGGGAATGTGGCTTCTTCCTTTTCTATCCCCAGTGCCTTCAAAGAATATGTCATCAAAAGGCATTGTAGAATGCATGAATGAATGTGTGGATATTTATTTTGGTAATCAAAATAGAAAAAGCTTAAAGATGTCTACAGAACAGTTGGTTTCACTGGAAATATACTTCCAAGTAGTTAGAATTGTACCACACACAGTAGTTAGTTTTATACACACACACACACACACACACACACACACACGCGTGCGCATGCGCGTGCCCCAGACTATTACCTTGAGGAAGCTCAGACAGTCCTGGTTCTCACTCTTCCCCCTGTCCCGTAGGTCGAAGTTGTACAGAGCCCTGCAGAGAGGGGGTGGCTGCGGCAGTTGCTTGAGGACTTCCACGGAGCTGACTGGGAAGATGCCACTGAGCCCATTGATCTCTCCCTGGTACCAATTTTCATCCAGTTGTTTCCGGAGGAGAATAACATCTCCCTTATTAAAGCTCAGGTCGCCAGGATTCTGCCCTCTGTAGTTGTATAAGGCCTTGGCTCGAGGCACCTGCCAAGGCACACAGACCAATAAAATACAAACTTAGTTTTGAGACTGGAGGAAAAAAGGTGTCATATTAACAGCTAATTATGACGCTCACTATGTGCTAATTGTGTGAGTGTGTATACGTGTGTATTGGCTATTTCAATGTAGATAGACTCTCATTATCTCCATTTATCAGAGCAACTGAGCAAAACAGAGTGGTTTAGTAACTTGTGAGAGGTGATAGGTAGGAAATAGCAGGTTTGGGTTCTGAACTCAAGCTACCGGATGCTCTGTCTCTTGTCCTCATTCTGAATGATGCCAAGAACCAGAATTTGGGCTTGACTCTGTGAACTTGTGTGAGTGGATGAACTCTGGATCTGCACCGACTTGGAATTCTGGCTCCACTCTTTCCACTTACATCATTAAGGTTGTTTACTTTTTCTTACACTTATACTCATTTGGAAAATGGGATTTTAATTGCATGCCTAACCTATTAGGGTTTTTCTGAGGAATAAATATTCATAATGCATTTGCCATCTTGCATATAGTATGTGCTCAATAAATGTCATCCTTTCTTGTCAGCATTTGTAATAGAGGGCTAATTACGCTGGTTCTGCCCAGTTGTTAGTACTGATGGTAAGAAAATGGTGATGCAAACCACCTGAAAATAGCAAGTGCTGTCTGAGACTATAGTTTGTCTTCAGCCTTGTCTAGAAATTATAAGTCTCAAAGAGTTTAGATCATTAGGATGTTCAACTGAGAGAAAGAACAATTAGTTTGAAATCAATCATTGATTTTTTAAAAAATAAACCATCTCAGAAATCATCACATTTGTCAAATTGGTTGTCTCTCTGAATAATTCAGTAAAATGTATTTTTTCTAGTTGAAATTGGTTTTCTCATACAGAAATGGTCTCACACGAGTCTTGCTTGCAATCAGCTTAGCAGTCTGATAGTTCACACAATTTGGGTAGAACCCAAAGCCTCTCTGTCCACTGGGATTGTATTTTATGTGAGATCTCTGAGCATCTCCTCTCACGGTGGCAGGCTTGCATACTGGAGTTTAGGGAGACATTACTTTAGGTCTTCAATGAACTGCTCAATCTACAAGGCTCTTTTGGAGAGAGAATCCATGCAGAAGAGAGGTAGAGACAAGACCTGATATGCTTTTGCTTCTGGAAGTGGAACTGGGGATGCAGTGAGGAGAGTAAGGGGCAAGAGAACCACAGGAATGGAATCCATCCTGGAGAAACTGGTGCACAGACAGCAAGTCAAGTGGAGTTGCTGATCATATATCCATAGAATGAAAAACTCTCAGTCATTACCATTGCTAATATTGATCTATAATGCATGGCCATGTCACTCATAATGTACTATCACATGTAATAGGAGAAATTCACTGCACTCATGTTACCAGGTGCCATTGGCTTATGCTTCTAACCCTAGCTACTCAGGAGGCTGAGATCTGAGAATTGTTATTTGAAGCCAGCCCAAGCAGGACTCTCATCTCCAATTAAACAGCAAAAAGCTGTAAGTGGAGCACCTGCACATGCACCCCCCCCCACAGTGTGTGTGTGTGTGTGTGTATGTGTGTGTGCATGCACACACACACAGATAGAGATTACCTAAATATTAATGAGCATACTAGATGTCTGTAACAAAACATTGAGTAATTACTTCTGGACAGTGAGATTAAAAAATGACTCTAAGTATTCAGCTGTGTTTTCTTATGTTTCTACAATGTTATACTCACATCATCTATTGAACAATGATCAAGATGTACTGTAAACATAAATAAGCACGTTGAATTGGAATTCTTTTGTACAACTATTTAAAGATAATTAAAAATGATTAAAAATAGGCACAAAAGATAACACTGGTTAAAAGACAATGCAAAGGAGCTGAGGGTCAAGGAGTGGAAGGTATGGACAGAATTGAGGAACAAAACAAGCCCAGCTGAGTAGTCTGAGCAAATCAAGGAACAAGTTTTTAATTTTATTCTTTTCAGACAGATCTCACTATGCAGCCAATGCTGACCTCAAACTCGGTCTAGGCCAGATTGGCTTGGAACTTGTGAACTTCCTGCCTCAGACTCCCAATTGCTGGGCTAAGGCGTGTACCACCATGACTGACTGGCATCTATCCTTTGGGGCAAGATTATCTTTACTTGAGAAATAAGCAGATAAAAGCAGGTGATTTGAGGGAGTGATCCAAATCTATTAGCCTCATAAGGATGGATATATCTGGGAATAACTATTGTCCTTCCATATTCTTTCTTCCAAATTTTCATTTGTAATACAAAACATACTTTTCTGGGTATATGATTACCTGAAACTTTTGTTTGTTTGTTTTTGCTTGAACTCTGGGCTTGAGTGCTATCCCTGCGCTCCTTTTTGCTCCAAGCAAGTGCTCTACCACTTGAGCCACAGCACCACTTCTGGCCTTTTCTGTGATTAATTGGAGATAAGAGTCTCACAGATTTTCCTACCTGGGCTGACTTCGAACCATGATCCTCAGCTCTCAGCCTCCTAGGTAGCTAAGATTACAGGCATGAGCCACTTGCAATTGGCATACCTGGAATTTTGACTGGTCATATTTCCCAGATTCCCTGGCAGGGGAGTTCTGACCCATAGATAGAAGCAATCTTAACCGAGGGTCCTTACTCTAGAGAGACTGATTTTCTCTTTCTCCATCCTGCTATATGTAGAGAGTAGGCATGGCTCCTGGAGCTTTGGCTGTCATTTTGAATGAGGTGGAAGGCCATTTCTGAACTGGAGAGGAAGAGATGTGTCTGACAGAGCTGCCATACTCATCCCAGACTACATAGCTTCCAGATTTTGTCTAAAATTTATATAAGCTTCCATCTTGCTTATGCATTATCCTTCAGGATTTTTTTAAACAAAAGATAAAGAGGGCTGGGAAGGTGGCTCAGTAGTAGAGTGCTTGCCTTGCATACATGAGGCCCTGGGTTCCATTCCTCAGCCCCACATAAACAGAAAAAGCCGGAAGTGGCGCTGTGACTCAAGTGGTAGAGCACTAGTCTTGAGCTGAAGAGCTCAGGGACAGCGCCCAGGCCCAGAGTTCAAGCCCCATGACCAACCAAAAAAAAAGAAAGAAAGAAAGAAAAGGAAAGATAAGAAAGAATCCAAACCCTTTGGCTTTGTATAATAGCAAATATACTTATTCCTGATAATTTTTGTTTCTTCCTGCCAGATACTAGCATCTGACAATATATTCTATTTCTCTCTCACTACTTAATCATTACACTTTGAAATGTGTATTTATTCTAATTCTAAAAATTAGAAAACTAGGGATCAGAAATATTAACAATTATCCAAATTAATATGGCTAAAAGGTGATAGGTTTAGGGATTTGAACTCAGGACTGCCCTCAAACCTAAGTTCTTTAACCACTAAGTCCAAACTTCTCTGAAAGAAATTTGTCATTGATCTGTACTAGAATAATGGGAAAGGCTGAAAGTACAAATCTTCCAACTCTTTTCCTGATCTATGTTATCAGAATCCGTCAAAGTGGGATCTCTATAGTGCCATTTTGGTTGTGGTTATTAAGCTTCTTCCATACACAAGACCAATGCTACTGGTTTAAGTTACACCACATTTTAAATCAAATGAAAGCAATGGAATCTTGATATAAACTTTGAAAGTTGGTAACCTACTTTCTTCTTTTTCTCCCTGGAAGATATTTCCAGTGTTAGTGACTTGCATACTTTAATGAGTACTAAGAGAGTGTATTAAATCAAAATTGTATTAAGTGCTTCAATTCCTCTGAAGATGCTTAAACTGTGAAACCTGAGTGGTCTAATTGCTTATTTTATCCATTGTCTTTCCCCATCTCCCCTCAACACAGGAAAGTATTGGGGAGCCAATTATAAATTCTCTATATGACATGAAGATGACTCTCTTCCTCTCCTTCTCTTCATTTTGGATAATCCAGCCCTTGGCATTCTTAGTTTTGTAGTCACAGCTATAGGAAACATTGGCTTCCAAGTACGGACAAGGGTGGAGAGAAGAAGGAAGGACAGAAGAAGGCAGGAGAGAGAGTGAGATGATGACAGTGTGTGTGTAAACAAGTGAATGACTCTGAAGATAGAAGTCTACAATTACGGGCCTTCTGTCAGGCCATTGAGAATTTTCTGACATTGTATGCTCTGCAGTTTTTACACACTATCTATGTGACTGCCTAAAATCTTACAACTTCAACCCTCAAGGAAGCAGGTGGTGTTTCCCTGTCTTACTGATGAGGAAACAAGTACTGAAATGGTTGAATGTCAGCAGACAAGGTCAACAGCCAGTGGATGCAGACCCAACGATGGACTTAGGCTTATTTGACCTTAAAGCCCCAGTGCATCTGTCAGCTCATTGTCTTCCCTCCAGCTAAAGTCACCTAGTATGTTTTCCCATCATGAAACTCATTGAGGGCTGTTTTGTAATCAAAATCTGAATAGAGGGTGAATGCAATTTGCTTGCTGCTGGCTACATTAGCATGAATTATTGAACTCTAGAGCTCTCACATAAAAGTTAAGCACCTGAAGAGACTCAGCTGGTTGATTCTATCCGGTCCTCAACTGTTCGCTCCAGGGAAAACGATTTCACATTCCGTATCAGCTATTACCCATTACTGTTGGTAGCATTTTTTTTTATCACTCATACATGTTTTCTGCCTCTGCAGGTGCAAGGGTGAGGGGAATAGGGTAGGGGAATAAAGTGGTGTGGAGGATTTACTGTTAGATTATTACCAACCTTTATTCTTAATGGTTTCCAGAAAGACAAGGGGAAGCTTCCATGTGACTGTTCCTTCCTTCCTTCCTTCCTTCCTTCCTTCCTTCTTTTTTCATTCAAACACTCAGAGCATATCAGTACAGTATGGACATTGTTTAAAAAACTAGAAACAGAGCTACTGTATATCATCCTGCTATACCATTCCTGGGTATATATCAGAAGGAGTGTAAGTCAATGCACAATAGGGATCCCTGCACACCCATGTTTATAGCACTCTATTCATAAT